AGCCTAGGAAAATCCTAAGCCTTCTCTGAGTGTCGGCGACAAACATTACTCCCTTTCTTCCAAACCCTCAACAGGCGGTAACTCTCCATCATCCTATCTATAGCCTCTCTTTACGCATTGATAGCCCTTGCCCAAAATTCATCTTGTTTTTCAATCAAAGAAACCCAACCATGTCCATAATTAGCGAGATCTCATCCTCATAACCAAATATTACCGGTTTAAACACCGAAAACTCTGAATTTGCATACAACTCTTCTACTCTTCATAGACCATGATGTGATCACTGCGCCAAACCAGGACATACAAAGAAGACATGTTGGAAGATTCATGGACAACCAACTGATTGGAAGGCAAAACAATCAGCACAAGAAAGCAAAGAGAACTCTATCAACATCGCACAAGATCAATCCATCAAAGTTAAAGCTATTCCTTTCACCTAGGAGCATTTAGAGATGCTGAAGTTTTTACTTAACACATCACAAACCAATAGTCTCCAGAACATGCTACCAGCCTACAGACTCAATCATGTATAAAACAATCAAAACTTTGAGTTATTGACTCAGGAGCATAAGATCATATGATAGGAGGCATTACAACCCTTCATGACTATCGACTTTATCATTCAAATCGAGTAGTTAAGATTGTTGATTGCTCAACATCCAAAGTTGTGGGAACTGATTCTGCTTTTATCACATAAGCTATCACCCTTTAATAAGTGTTTTATGTGCCCAATCTTGAGTGCAATCAAATTTCCATTAGCAAATTGACTCGTGATAGTAATTGCTTAAAACATTTCTCTAATAATGCATGTATTTTTTTGGAACTGAATTCAAAGAAGAAGATTGATAGTTCTGAGATATGTTCTAGGTTAGATTACATCAAGACACCCAAATCAATATAAACTTTAATTGCTGCTCCTAAGAATCCTCCTTTAGTCCTATTGTATGTCAGTTTGTTGAGAGTCATTATAGAGTCAGTCAAGATAGAGAGATTATCATGTGTTATTATAGGTTAGGTCATCCAAATTTCATCTATCTTGAAAAAAATTTTCCCCATTTATTTATTAATAAAAATGCAAATTTGTTCAAATGTGAAACTTGCCAATTAGCTAAACATACCATATCATCTTACCCATTTGCTCCTTACCAACCTTCTAAACCCTTTGCCTTGATCCATAGTGATATTTGGGGACCCTCAAGGGTTAAAAATATAAGTAGAGCAATGTGGTTTGTAATATTTGTTGATAATCATACTAGACTCACTTAGGTTTATTTAATGAAGGAAAAATCTGAAGTTGAAAAGATATTCAAATCATTTCAACTGATGATTCAAAATCAGTTTGATACAAAAATTCAAATCTCAAAATCAGACAATGGGAGAGAGTACTTCCATTCTTTCATGAGAGAATACCTATCAAGCCAAGGGATAATCAAAGTGAGTTCATGTGTGTATACGCCTCAACAAAATAGTGCAGCTGAGAGGAAAAATAGGCAACTCCTGGAAGTCACCAGATATATTATGCTATTCACAAAAGTACCAAATATCTATGGGGGGAGCCATTCTTACTGCTGCATATCTAATAAATAGGTTACCAACTCGAATACTAACATTTAAAACACCAAGATAAACTCTACTCAAAGCCTATACTTATGCTTGGTTCATATCATCAAACATTCCACCTAAAGTTTTTGGGTGCTCTTTTTTTGTTCATATATATCCACAAGATAGAAGCAAGCTTGACCCAAGATAAAAAAATACATCTTTATTGGATATTCCCCGATAAAAAAAGGTTACAAATGCTTGCCCTATTTCTAGGAAAGTATTTGAAATCATGGATGCCACCTTCTTTGAAAACAACCCCTACTTCACTAGTTTTGAAATTCAGGGAAAAAGTGAAGGACATATATGACAAACACTCTAATAGATGAACACCAATTAATTCAAGACTATATCTATAAGCTTACTAATATTGGACTTCTTAACAACAAAAGAAAGAAAAATATGTCTTTAGGTATATTTGGTGGTATATATTCTTGAAAAGAAGTACAACTTGATTCATCCTGATCCACCTTCTCAACTTCCAATTTATTTCACTGATGCTTCCATTCATAAGTGGATTTCCTCATTATACGACCAAACATAATCAAGTTAAAATCAACAAATATCACAAGGAATCCAAACCACGAGTATTTCCCAAGGTATATCTCCTATATCTCAAACTACAACTTCAGACCGATTACAACCACCCATAAGTAATCAATCCCTACAAAGAGCAGCAATTAAGGAACAACAATATGTATACTCAAGAAAAAGAAAGAAAAAATAGCATATGTAGAGCAATGAGACACATCTTACACCTGTCAACTCTACTTAAATGGATCCAACAACTATAGAAATTCATACAAAGGAGAAAACTGAGGAAGTTCAAAAAGAGATAGAGTCATCAAGTAGCCACAAAGAATAATGCACCAAGCATCCAATCGAAAACTTTCTACCCTATAGCAGATTATCAGACACCTATCAAGTCTTCCTTTCCAAATTGGATGATGTACAAATTCCGACCAATATTCAAGAAGCTTTGAATCACCCAGGATGGAGGCACAGACTGTTAAAGAAGAAATTATGGCATTGAAAAAAAATCAATACATGGGTGATTACAAATCTCCAACTAGGAAAGAAAGTTGTGACTTGCAAATGGGTGTTCACTGTAAAGCATAAAGTTAATGGTAGTGTTGAGAGACTGAAAGCTAGACTTGTTGCAAGAGGATTAACTCAGTCTTATAGAATAGACTATAAGGAAACTTTTGCTCATGTTGCAATGCTCAACATCAACTAGATATCAAGAATGCATTCTTGAATGTGAACCTGAAAGAAGAAGTCTACATGGAGATTCCAATGGGGAAGGAATAAAGTGTGTAAACTGCTGAAATCCTTGTATGGATTAAAGCAGTCTCCAAGAGCATGGTTTGAAAGATTCTCAAACTATGTAAAAGGCCATGGTTTTAAACAATGCCAGAAATATCATACCTTGTTTGTGGAGCAGTTAGAAAGAGATAAGGTAGCAATACTGATTGTATATGTGGATGACATCATCCTTACTGGAAATGATATAGACGAAATAATGAAGATCAAACCGGCTTTGTCCAAGGTGTTTTAAAGATCTAGGATCACTTAAGATATTTCCTTGGTATGGAGGTAACTCGATCAAATAAAGGTATATTTATTTTGGAACGCAAGTATACCTTAGACATATTAAATGAGACCGGCATGCTGGGATGCAGACCAGCCAGTGAACTTATTGATCCTAAGAAAAAACTTGGGATACAAGAGGGAATTACAGTAAATAAAGGAAGATATCAACATCTTGTGGGAAAGCTTATGTACCTCTCCCACACCCGTTCATATATTGGGTTTGCTGTGAGTATGGTAAACAAATATATGAATAATCCTATGAAGGAGCACATGGAGGCAGTATATCAAATCTTGAGATATCTCAAGAATACTCACGAAAAGGGTCTATTTTTAAAAAAAAATAAAGATATGAAATTGATCCTTTATTCAGATGCAGATTGGGTAGGAAGCCAGATTGACAGTTGATTGACCACAAGATATTGTTCATTTGTGTGAAAGAACCTAGTGACATGGAGGAGAAAAAAATAATCTGTTGTTTCCAGAAGTAATGCAGAATCTGAACTAAGAGCATTAGTAGTTACTACTTGTGAAGATATTTGAATCATACAAGTATTGATTGAACTGGGAATAAAGATTGAAAGCACGATAAAGTTGAAATGTGACAATCAAGCTGCAATCAGTATGGCCAAGGATCCCGTGCATAATGACATAACAAAACATGTGACTATTGATAGACCTTTATATCTGAGAAAATATATAACTCAGAAATTGAAGCAGTATATACCCCAACTCATGAATAACTTGCCGATGTTCTAACAAAGACACTGTCGGGCTCTCTACTTAATAAGTTTTTTTGCAAGTTAGGATTGCACAACCCAACTTGAGGGGGAGTGTTGAATCACGAAGCCAAGGGGAGGCCGCAATAGCAATCTGTGGGCAGCAATCTGAGGGCTACAGTTGGAGATCCGTGGGCAGCAATCCGAGGGCTACAGTTTGAGATTCGTGGGCAATAATATGAGAGCTGCAGTTGGAGATCCGTAAGATATGATTATTATAATTAATTAGATTAAATGTCTTTCTTTTTTCTATTTATTCTCCTATAATGTATACATATGTAATGATTCCAAGGAATAGAATAAAATTTAAATTTCTCTCTAAACAATTTATTCAAGGTGGAAGGCAAAAGATTAGATCCGAGTTTCTATCACTTGTAGCACGATCATCTGTTCTAGAAAAATATCTAGCAAATGATCATTAGAATTCATCAACATGAGCATGTGGTAGGACCAGTGTACAAAGAGAATTCATAAAAAAATCTAACTATATACTATTCATTTCATGGTCATCGACATAAGTTGTTTGGACTATATTCAAGCATTGAAGCAAATCAATTTGCAGGTAGCTGAGGCACTTACTCATGTTGACCACGAGATAGTAGGAGTGCCGAGTAAAATTCCAACCAGCTGCTTTGTATTTTGGGAAACAACAAAACAATGAGGGCTTAAAGAGAGGCTTCCAAAGAGTCATTCTCTTATGAGTGTACGAGTGTGCCAACCCAAAAAACAAATATAATTACGGATGAGCCTCTTATCTCATTTCCCATAATACCCGCTGCCTAAAATCCTTCTAATTTCTAAAATATCTGGTAATAGTACCAAGTATTGGCATTTTAAGAACCAAGCAAAGAATGAAAAAACCAGAGCAAAGGTGCCCTTGGACAGAACACTATGTGCCAATCAAAAAGTAAAACCTCAAAAAGATAAATACTTCGTTTAAAGCACCTAATCGCTCACTTTTTGTCTAGCTCATTATTTTTTTTGTAATTTCTCCTTTTTTTTTATTTTTTACGTGAGAGATAAGTGAGGCACCTGAAATATTAAGAGACCAATAAGCACAGGCTGCGTATCAAAACCAAAACTCTGGAATAGCTCCTTAGAATTCCTCACAAGGGTATATCCTCCAAATTGTAGAAATGTGATTATCTGCACAAAAATCCAAAAAAAAAAAAAATTATCAAAACAAGAATAGTATCAATACTAGCAACTAAAGTTAAGACAAAGAAGAAGATATTCATCATCAGTTCGGTACTTCCAGGCTTGCAAGTCAAAAAACATTAAAAACTTGACCTAAAGAAACTAGGGCTGAAACAAATGGATTACAGGTTTGGAAGTAGTACATATCTCATGTAAAAGTGGAAAAATATCGATTAAACTTCAAATCTAAAATCATTTTGGACAAAACAGAATAAACAAGGGAAAAACAAAGTTCAAATTATAAGCTCAAGAAGTTTCCAAACTTTCTATGAATCTCTTATCAGCAAATTAAGATTTTATGATAGATTCTGTACAGGAAATCAAACCATATCAATATACTATAAGTAATAGATTGAAAAAACTAGATCCAGTTGCAAATCTGACAGGTCTCAAAGCCAAACTCAATTAGATACTATCCACCTCAGTTTCAGCCTTAAATTATGCAGGAAATGAAAGGGTATAACTTACAAAAAATTATGAACACCTTTTTTCTCCAAGAATTATTAACAGCAAAAAACAGCAATCAATGTAGAATGAGATGCTATGCAGCACTACCCATAAATTTGTGTTCCTTATCAAGTGCTTAAAATTGGAAAATAAATTAAAAAAGTACAAAAAAAAAATTCAAAAAAAAAAATGAAACAAGAGAAAAAGAAATTTAAAAAAAAAAACAAGTTAAAAAATGTGAGGTTAAAAGCATAAAAAATCACCCATGTACATTCCAAGAACCAATTAAGCCCAAGAAATGGTTGCTAAATATGAAGCTGTTATAGGATGTGATCCTTAGGAATAACTTGATTACTTAGCCTAGATTATGAAGTAACTACATTTAAAAGTCAGATGATGATCAACAGAAGAAGATTTCTTTTAAGGCTAGCAAACTTTAAAAGTTTAATTAATACACATGGACATGTAGGTTCAAACATGCTGGTTATAAAATAAGAAGTAAATAGCGCTAGAATTTGACTACATATGCTTAAGTTAAACCCTACTGAGGTTGGGATTTATTTTTTGTAAGCCTCTACTTAAGTCAGCTCATTAATGATGAACTACTATCTAATCAGCTCATTAATGCAATTAATTAGATTCATTTCCCCTTACTTTGGCTCTTTGGTTTCCCCTTTCTTGGCTCTTCTCTCCATGGCTTGTTCTTCTCCCTTTGGCCGTTGGTTCTTCCCCTCCCCTTCTTTGTGCCTTTTCGGTTTGCTCCCTGACTGCTTTCCCTTGGCTGCCTCTTCCTCTTCTTTGTGCCCCTTCGGTTCTCCCCTAGTGTTGTTTCACGTGGCAGCTTTAACTCTCTTTGCTGGGTGCTAATTCCAATCCCCTATTTTGCCTTTTCGGGTTCCTCTCTGGCTGTGTTCCCATGGCTTCTTCTAACCAGTTTTATGCTGTCTTTTTGGGTGCTATTTTGGATTTAATTCTGGCCTTTTTTGGGCTGTTTGGCTGCTGTTTCTGGACAGCCAGCTGGCCCTCCTTGATGGTCGTTTTGGGTGTTGTTTCCAACAGTTTTTTGGCATTCTATATCCCTCATTTTAATGGGCTTAATTAATGATTGTGGTGGCTGTTTGGTTACCCCTTTATCCTACATATATGAGATGTTTATGTAATAAAAAAAGGAGATTATAATGTGATTTTTGGAGATGAAAACCTGAGGGTTTTTCTTGGAAAAGCTTGAGAGCTTGTTCCATTCCTCTCTTCTTCTAGGAAAGCTTACGAGCTTCTCCTCCCTTTCGTCTCGACTTCTTATCTCCTTCTTCTCTCCGCAAGTGACCACTCCAATTGTATCTTTCTTCTCAATCAATCAAAGAATGCAAGTTTAGGTGTATGTTTATGTTTGTGTTTGTGTCAAAGTTTGTAAGAGTATTTATCCTATAAAAGTTGCAATTTGTCTAATTTATTTTTTTTTTTTTGGAATTTTGTGTAATTTCTATTTCCTAGGAAGGTTTAGTTCTTACTTGCAAAAATTTGGGGCTTTTCCCAAATTTTTGCTTGCATCAATTTGGTATTAGAGCAAGTTGTCGTGTGTGTCATGTGAGTCTGTGGTGTCAAGTGAATCTAAGTTTTTATTGGGTCTTCCTTTATTTTAAGTCAACATGGATAAACATCAAGTGGAAAGCAAGCAAGAAATTAAGCCAAAAGATTTTGAAGAATCTATTCCTAAAAACCAATGGATCTTGCCATAAGAAAAATCTTCAGACCCGATACAGATCGAGCTTATGAAGATTCAAGAGCAGCTACACTCAAGTGCCAAAAAATTTGAAACAAAGAAACTTCAATTCCTGTCCGAATTTGAACAAGAAAAAGAAGTCATTAAACGAAAGTATGACATTCTAATTCAAGAATCTGAAATGTCGGATCTCCAAAAGTTTGAAGGCACCTCATCGGGAGATGAGTATTTTCAACCGGAGGAGAAATGATGTAGGCAAGGGGTGGATCAAAACAAGTTGGGATTTATTTTTTGTAAGCCTCTAATTAAGTCAGCTCATTAATGATGAGCTACTATCGAATCAGCTCATTAATGTAATTAATTAGATTCATTTCCCCTTACTTTGGCTCTTTGGTTTCCCCTTCCTTGGCTCTTCTCTTCATGGCTTGTTCTTCTCCCTTTGGCCCTTGGTTCTTCCCCTCCCCTTGGCTGCCTCTTCCCCTTCTTTGTGCCTTTTCGGTTTGCTCCCCGGCTACTTTCCCTTGGCTGCCTCTTCTCTTCCTTCGTGCCCCTTCAGTTCTCCCCTAATGCTGTTTCACATGGCTGCTTTAACTCCCTTTATTGGGTGCTGATTCCAATCCCCTATTTTGCCTTTCGGGTTCCTCTCTGGCTGTGTTCCCGTGGCTTCTTCTCATATTTTAAAATTGCGCAATCTGAGGCACGCCTTTGTGCAATTTGCTTCAAAATAGCCTCAAAGCCTACGCAATTCTCAGGCATCATGAGGCGTACGCCTTAGGTGGAGTGAGGCGCGCCTCACTAGCATTATTGCGCAATTTCCTTTGAGGCATACGCCTCAAATATATGCTCAGTACATGCTCGGTACCGCTCAGTATATGCTCGATACCGCTCAGTATATGCTCGGTACCGCTCAGTATATGCTCGGTACAGCTACGTATTTGCTCGGTACTGCTAGGTACATGCTCAGTACCGCTCAGTATATGCTCGGTACAGCTAGGTATTTGCTAGGTACATGCTCGGTACCTCGGTACCGCTCAGTACCGCTAAGTACATGCTCGGTACCACTCGGTATCTTCTCATACAAACAACTTACGAACCGGAAACCCCCGCAGGGGCGCTGCCCATTGACCCCGCGACCTGACCCCCTTGGACCCTCGGCAGTCCGGCATATTGTTCTATTCATCATCTTTCATAATAGTTGTTAGTGTTAGTCTACTTCTTCATGAGTGCATGCTTTGATTGGAAGACATTGGACTCTATAGGTCAAAAAGGTATTCTCATTATTTTAGAGTGGACTTGTGTCTCTTCCGTTCCCCTTGTCTTCTCGATTTCTGCTATATGTTGCTTTTCCCATGGTCACTCCCTCTCGGTTTTATCCCCTGGCTGTTTTCCCGTGAAGCTCTGCCCTGTTTCTTGTGCTGGCTCTTCGGGTCTCTTGCTGCCTGGGCTTCCTGTGACTTCTTGCTGGTTTTCCGTAGCTATTTCTCCCTATTTTCTGTGCAGTATTGTGGGATGTATTTGTCTGATTTTTGTGATGTCTTTTCAGCTGCTGTTTGTGGTGTTTTTTGACCTTCTAGTTCCTTCTTTTAATGCGATTAATTAGTAATTTTAGGGGCTGTTTGGCTGCCATCTTTTTCCTTTATATATGAGATGTTTATGTAATAAAAAAAGATGTTATAATGTGATTTTTGGAGATAAAAACCTAAGAGTTTTTCTTGGAAAAGCTTGAGAGCTTGTTCCATTCCTCTCTTCTTCTAGGAAAGCTTGTGAGCTTCTCCTCCCTTTCGTCTCGGCTTCTTATCTCCTTCTTCTATCCGCAAGTGACCACTCCAATTGTATCTTTCTTCTCAATCAATCAAAGAATGCAAGTTTAGGTGTATGTTTATGTTTGTGTTTGTGTCAAAGTTTGTAAGAGTCTTTATCCTATAAAAGTTGTAATTTGTCTAATTTGTCATTTTTTTGGGAATTTTGTGTAATTTCTAGTTCTAGGAAGGTTTAGTTCATGCTTGCAAAAATTTGGTGCTTTTCCCAAATTTTTGCTTGCATCACCTACGGTAGTAAAAGTTGAAATAAGTGATGGTAGAATCAAGAATATTATGGGTTCTTTGGCAATGCCAAAGAGCAGCTGGAAAAGTAAAGCCAACTTCACTGAAAATATTGTGATAAATATTTTTTTTTTTTTTTAAGAATCAGAGAATGACTATTCTTTTGGTGCAATGCACCACAATGTAACATGATTGTGGTGAGACACAGAGTTTGCTAGATCACCCATAAAAACCACAACTTAGCAAAATTGTGCTAAAAAGTAGGCAAAGGTTAGCCATAACATCACCTGGATGATGCGCTACAACTTAATCTGATTGTAATGAAGAGTGAAAATTGACTGGTTCTAAATCAAAGATTATATTTACTATGCGGAACTTGAGATCTTTGAATATAAATACAAGAAAATTACTAAACAAATATTACTTGGTTATAAGAAATAAAATGAAAAGGAGAAAAATTTTAAAAAAAAGCAATATTTTTTTGTATGTTAGAGATATTAATAATACGAATGAGATTGGATAGTACTAAATAGAGTTGTAAGATAAAATTGTTGATGTAAATAGAGTTAGTGATGGGATGACTGCTATTATGATTATCAATGAAGATGGCATTATGAACTTGGTTGGCTTATGCTTAGTGAGTATCATCTTCCATCTATACACAAATGACCAAATGGAGGTCGTGAACAGGATAATGGTGCATAAACTATGAGGTTACAGTACTTCGGATGAAAACCTAT